CAGAGGGAAGGCACTGCATACATGTCTACATAGTACCTTGTTGGAAAGACTGGAGCATGGTTCAAGATGATGTGTAAAAATTCAAGATTTGTGCGAAAGCTTGTGACTGAAGAACCAAAACAGTTCGATATGATGGCTCAATCAAACGTGGAAATGGAAGACAAAAGTAGAGTTTCAACGTTCCAGCATGTGAGAATAGCTTCAGAAATTCATAGACCTTGTAGCATTGCATTCTTTTTATGTACATTTATAGGTTTTGCTAGGGTATTTCAATTCATTGTGTCAGTTGAGATATAGATAGATGGATTGCGGAAAATTTCTAAAATCATTGTATGGTAGCTAGGTACTTGTTCGGTAAAAAGGTATGTGATGAATGCCATGAGATTTTTTTGTGATTTAATATATGATCGTTGTGGTACCTACAAAAATGCAAGCTTACTAGCAACTAGTTTCTGAATCAAATCGAAAGTATTTGTCATGAATGTAAATATGTACCTGCAAAGTATGTCAATAAATTTGTGTGATGTTGACCAGAGAGTTTTATCATCAGGGCATTTATGTCGCTTCTTACATTAGGTGTTAAGCATAGTAATTACGGATGAACTTTGTGCCAATATCTTCAATGCACAATGTATGTAGCATGTCTACAACCCTCACTGATCCTGCTATAGCTATAGGCATTTGGCACCAGCTTGACCAAGGGCATGAACTTCACAGCTGCACAACCTTTTTTCATGTACCACCAGTCACTTTTTTACTTAAGGTGCACATAGCACTGCACACAACAATGTGCAGAGGGCCTACACAAAAACAACATTAGTGTGCACTATGCAAAGCATTGTACCCTGATTATTTGAATTTTTTGATCACTCAACAGTCAGCAGTCAGGAGATAATTATTGAATATCACATTTATTATACATCACTTGTCAAACAAGAGCATGATGACACACATTTTGACAAGCAATCATGGTAGTACCTATTCCAATAAGTTGGACAGTCACCTCCCTGGGCGTCATTTTTCCAGGAAGGTACCTCTGCAGGTGTTGTGGTAGGCTAGGTTGAATTGGGTTAAGTTAGGCGAAGTAAGGTGGTTAGGACCAGGTCAGACCGTAAGGCCTGGTCAGGTTGATTTTAATCTTTCATTCTAATTTGACATAGATACCTATTACCTATGTTTTTGCTCCAGCCTAAATTTCATTAGGTAATGAGTTAATTTTGCTTTGTTTATATCTGTCTTGTTTTGTGTTTTTGTCCCTTATATTTTGCCCCATAGGCAAGGGTGGAGCTTTTCCAGGGAAGGTGTAGGAGCATATGATTGGAGGCGCTCAACCAGACGGCATAGGAGGGCACGGTTTCTGAACGCGCACTGATGCCTGATTCAAGCCACACTGTCTTCATGCGGGGCGGCGCGCTACTTAAAAGTCCCTAAAAGAACGGGAAGTGATGCCGATAGAACCTTCAATCATTCTGGGCTAACGCTTATGACCTGGAAAAAGTCGCGATCCCTATTCAATCGAAAACCTGTGGGGCGTGGGCTCTTGTTCAGCAGGAGGTGTATGAAGAGCCACCCGCCATAAGCACTGCTCAACCGCAGGCACAGGTTTAGACGGCGTTGGTCCGCATCAAAGCCAGTGTGCTGGAGAATCCATTGGCTGAAATGCTCCAGAACATTCATCACTGTGTTTTTATGAAAGGTGGCTACAAGCTCAGTTAAAAGAAAAAGTACCAGATTTTTTTGCTTTTTAATTACAGCGGGAAGAAAGGTGTTCGGATAATTTCGTTACACCCCCTGTTATGTTCAAATGGTTGCTAAATTCGAAATCAGCTCCAAAAACTAGCCTACAAACATGTAAAACTCGAAAAAGGAACCGAGGTCATCAAAGGTCATTGAGCTGACCTGACCTTCAGGTGACCTTGACACCCACCCTAATGCATGGGACCAGCATCGCTGCATCATATCACATGTTTCAACGCTTGAAACCACGTGAAGACTGCAACCGCGCGGCTAATGCGAGCCGACATACGCCGAATCGCGATTCGGGCCAAACATGGTCTCGAGAAATAGGTCACAGGTCAAAGGTCATTTGGGTCAGGGTAGGTGTAAAATTGATAAAATCGGGGGCATTGAAAGTTTCGTCGCGATCGGACGGTTTTTACGCGAGTTACTCACGAAAAACCGATAAAGCGCACCCAAAAAGGCAGAAATATGCACATGCGATATCCTATACTGCGAAAAAAGGTGCATCATTTTTTAACGTCGCCGACAAATTGTAATTACCCTGAGCTCAGGCAAATGTATGGTAGAAAATCCCCCAAGTGAAATACACTACGGCGGAAATAAAATACCCTACGGCGGAGCTCGGTTGCAATTTGTAAATACGCACCCCGGTGTGATATACACAAAATCTACTACGTAGTGTAAATCACACCCGGGTGAGGAATACACATACCGGGGTTACATGAGCGATCCGTTCCAAATACGCACTACGCTAATGCGCATCAGCTCCCCACAAACGTATCTACGGCACCGGTTACATGAGACTAATTCGTTTTATCTACGTCAAACGGATCTTGTTTGGCTCACCCGGGCTGACTCCTCGACGGCCGGTAATTCGCATCACAAACGGAATAGGATTAGCGTACAGTCATGGCGCAGTTGCGGCATTTACCGGGACGACTGAACTAAATTTTAAATACTTTTATCATTTGATAGGCTCAAAAACATTTAAAATTAACATGAAATCAAAAAATGAAAACAAAGTTTTCTTGTTTTAAGTCAGTGGGCACTGATTCGCCATACAGCGACAGCAGGGTGGTCAGAAAAAAATTATCTATCAAAATATTTCATTCATTTTATTTCACATGCAAAGACTAAACCAAAATGCCAACATTTTTTTTGCTATTTTCTACGAGGCAGCCAATAAAAAAATGCTTAGTATTTTGCATTTTGACGCTTCCAGTCAGCAAAGAATAGTTCTTGTGAAATACGGCCCGAATCGAATACCTCGGTTACATGAGCGATCCGTTCCAAATACGCACTACGCTAATTCGCATCAGCTCCCCAAGAACGCATTCAGTGCACCGACTACATGAGCAAATTCGTATCAGTGACGTCAAACGGATCTAGTTTGGCTCTCGGCCCGATGCGCATTACAAACGGAATAGCATACAAATGTGGCGCACTTCCGTAGCAATAGAGGTGACTGAATTAAAAACTTGATATCTTATGTCTTTTTTGCATTTAATCTGCTCTTAACATTCTCAATTAACTTAACAAAAAAAAGTTAAACATAAAGTTGTCTTGTTTTGACTCATTGAGCACTTGCCTCTCTTGATTCGTCTGTAGTGCTGTCAGAAAAATGTTTCAACTGAAAGTACTTTGATATTTTCTTTTTGGTTTTCACTATATTTATTGACAAAATACCGACATATTTTTTAAATTATTATTTCAAAAGAAGCAAATGAATAAAATAACTATTATTTTGCATTTTAATGTAACTTTTTGGAAAGAAATAGTTCCTGTAATACGTATCTTGGTCCTATTCGCTTCTAAGCCTCTTTCTCTGCGGATTTTGTTCGGACCGCCGATTCGTATTAGCAGGTGGATACATGAGTCGGTAGTACGCTCCTGATTCGCATTAGCGGTGAATCCGATCGTGATACGTATTTGCTTTGCTCATGTAACCGCGGATCGGATCGCCGATTCGTACTAGCAGGTGGCTACATGAGTCGGTAATGCGTTCCTAATTCGAATTAGCGGCTAAATACGTATTTACTGTGCTCATGTAACCCCGATAACAGAGAGGGCAGCTGTGTGTATATCTCACCACGATGTGACGTCATAGCAACGCTGAACGTCCATTGGTCAGAGCAGTGACTCTGCTCGCCCATTGGTCAGATCAGACTAAGCACTACGAATATTCCGGCGGGATTCCGGGCGTCCTCTCTCTCGGAATCAGCTGACCGCATGGCCTAGTGGTGAAGGTGCTTGCACCGTGATACGAATGTTGCGGGTTCGAGTCCCGTCGGCGCGGGCGCTTTTTCCCGCATTTTCGCTTTTCCTTGGTAGCGGTGGGTTCGCTGCCGACCGACAAGTTTAAAAGCACCAATACAATATGGAAAGCGACGTCTGAATGCTCGTGGCGAAGCGGTGCAGTGCCGAAGGCAATGCCTTAGGAGAGATTACAGGCAATGGTAAGTCAAATATTTTTAGGTTAAGTGGTTGTGTATCTGGCTTCAGGCCGAAGGCCTGAAGCCTGATGCACAACCACTTAACCTAAAAATATTTGACTTACCATTGCTTGCAATCTCTTCATGCGAGTACCTTCTTCCTCATCCACGGGTAGGCAAAAATCAGTAGGTCAGGTTAGGTTAGGTTAGGTTAGGTTAGGTTAGGTTAGGTTAGGTTAGGTTAGGTTAGGTTAGGTCAGGTCAGGTCTAAGGTTTGGTTAAGTGTCTTGTTACCGTGCCTACTGTGTAAATCTCACCCAGGTGCTGCGTGGTTTGACACCCAGGTGTGATTTACCCACTACCGAGTACACAGTGTATATCACACCCTGGTGAGATTTACACATTGGCTAGGCCTACTGTGTAAATCACACCCAGGTGCTGCGTGGTTTGACACCCAGGTGTGATTTACACACTAGGAGCACATTGTGTATATCACACCACGGTGTGATTTACGCATTTGCCGGGCCTACTGTGTAAATCACACCCAGGTGCTGCGTGGTCTGACACCCGGGTGTGATTTACACACTAGGAGCACATTGTGTATATCACACCCCGGTGTGATTTACGCATTGCCGGTCCACTGTGTAAATCACACTCCGCGTGGTGTGATATACACAGGAGTAGTGTATTGTGTAAATCACACCCGGGTGAGGTTTACACTACAGTGCGATGCATTATGTAAATCTCACCGTGGTGTGATATACACGCGTCCTTCAGGAAAATATTCAACAGCTTTCAAGGTATTTTGATTTAATTAAATATTTTTAGTCATTAAAAATTTAATGTTTTAAATTTTTTTTTTTTTAATTCAGTTAATGTAACAAAAAATCTTGCTAAAAAATATTTATTTATGCCGCTACCATGTGATCTGCCGACTATAAGATTCTAGAGGCCTTACGCAATTTCTTCACCATGAGTATGCAATAGTGATATCAATGTTGAAATGGCGTTTTCGATGTCGAAGTTGCAAATTCTTTCGCTTTATCGAAGCTTGCTGAGAGAAAGTGCCAAGTTTTCTTCTTACAATTTCAGGTATTGTCATAAATTCTCCTGGCGTAAGCTTCTGAAATGAACGATCGCTTTTATCCAATTTATGTTGGTCGATGTTAATGTGCTTCTTGGAAAATACAGGTTATAGGTTTAGGGTTTTTTGTCTAGGAGGGCAGGTTGGGAAAATATGTGTTGTATAGGATGACCATGACACTAGTCAGACATGTATATTGGAGATTTGGAATGTGTTTATTCGTCTTCCGCCCAACAGACTCAGACTATGGCGCCCAATTTCTGGAGGGTCTCTATTCCTCCTCTTTCTCTATCCTTGCTCTATCCCATTCCAATTCCCCTAGGTTACAGCAATATTGAGAAACCACCCCATTCTTTAAGTACAGCTGGGGATGGCGTCTTGTTGGGCAAACATGATCGCCGCTCACCAGGACTCCAACTCAAGCACTGCTGCATTATGCCCATATCAACTATCTACACTTTCAGGATTGCATTTACTTGTTAGCTTACTTTTTGCAGTTTCCTCAATTTTATCATTCTATCAAAGTGTTAACATGATTTTGTGTGTTTTCCAGCATCAAATAGTTACATTGATGTTTTATGTGTGTAGTTACACTGGATAATTATTGTCATACACACAGGTCATATTTTCTACGTCGCATCAAAGACGGATTCCGCGAAGGCAGGGTACTACAGGATCCAGCTAAGGTCAAAGCAGAGCAGGACAGGGCAACGAATCTCCTGGAAGTCTTGAAGAGACAGGTAATTGCTTATGCATCTTTTTTATGGAAATAATAGCATTGTAGGTTAACCCAGTTTTATAAAGTTCAAATCAGGTGAAATGTGGCAAAGATTTTTCTGCAGTTCATGAATGATCAGATGCAACTATGTGCCTGCAATACTTCACCTGCATATGCCTTGCATCAATGTCCCAAAATTGTATTAGTAAAATTGTAAATTGTATAAGTTGATAGCATTATTTGACCTAAGGTTCCTTGAATGATTACCTGATCAACATGTTAATGTCATCCAAGCAAAGCAGGGGTGAATGAATAGGTACTTTCTTCCACCTTATATTTGTGTTTGACTCAATGCCTGTTTTCGCAGGTGGTGATTCAGAACATGTTCGAGCCTGGCCCTCTGGTGATTGAAAGGAAGTGATCACCTCACCCTTGTGCAGTCATCAGTCTCAGGAGGCGGGTAGTTGACGTGACCCCGTAGCGGTGACCGTAGCCTCGTGTGTGAGCCATGTCTCAGCCGGCGCCTGTCGAGGGGGAGACTGTGGTGGCCACGGAGACAGTGACGGTGCCGGCCGAGCCCGCCGAGACGGGCCAGCCGACCCTCCACCTGCGCCTGGTCCGGCCCAACAACCCCCGCAGGGTCAGTGGCCCCACCGGGGCGGGGAACGGTGCCCATTGTCGCATGCGGTGATTCCGCTGTGGGTGAAGCATCTAGAAGTAGTTATCGCTTGTTGCATTACCGAGGATGATTTGCCAGGTTTACTGTATCTCTCAGCATGCGTTATGAACCAGGAACGCGCTAGATCCTGACCTTAGCCCTAGGGAATAAAAAATAGTCGACCCTACGACCCTACCTTTATAACAGCATTACTTTAGCTTGTTACGGTGTAAAGCCTTAACCATAACGCATTTCATGATTCCAGTAATCGTTTTCGCTGATTATGTAACATTTTTATCTTAATCCTTTCTTCTTGCAAATGTGAGGCTACGACTGAGTAGTAAAGTAGTATTGGCTACGACTCGCTCCTAAGTCACGCGGTGCTGCGTTCCGCAGGTGGGCTGGCAATCTGGCACAATCGACAACGAACACATGAACAAGAAAAAGTCCAAGTGCTGCTGCGTGTACCGGAAGCCGAAGCCGTTCGGGGAGAGTAGCTCGGATGAGGAGGACGAGTGTAAGGCCTGTATCGGCCACCGGCAGCACAAGCAGCCCGCCAGCAGCGACGCCGGACAGTCGTCGGGCACGCCGCAGGCTCAGGGCTCTGGCTGAGGGCTCCTTACTCCGTGGTAGGACGGTTCGATTGTGTGATGGACAGTTTCGGTTGACATCGGCCGGAACAGGTCCCTCTACTTATGCCACCGCTGCTAATCCTTGTTTGGATACTGATGCATAGTTCCGAGATGCCGACGCCATGTAGGTGAACGAGTTGGGCACCCGTGTTGATGTGTACTAACGCGCGTTCCCCGTTAGTTTTTGATCTGTCACGTTTGTTGCGAGTGCATGCGCCGATGTAAAGCGTCGCCTCAATGCCCGGGTCATTCAGCGGTGGCTTGGTGGATTCGCTGTCCGCTGAACAAGTTTCTTCCATGAAGGATATGTGGCTAGATGCCCCACGCGTGTTTTAGCTAACGATGTATCCGCTTGGTGTAAAAATTATGTTTTGGAAACCACCTATATGATATGAAATGAACGACGATAAAATGTAATACAGAGATTGATCATGACACAAGCCATTTTTCTCATTTTTGATAGGCAGTAATGGTACAGCCTGTTGCTAGGTACAATATTTGTCACTTTTGTATCGGCGGATGTCATGACGAATGACTTGAACGTGAAAATTTTCGATTTTAATGCATCTTAAAAAAATGCGACTGTTGGCTGATTTAAAACTACAGTTTTTTTTATGAAACTGGCCGTATCGGTGACATATGTGCTGAACTTTCGTGCTTCGGGCCTAGGTATCAGAAGAAGAAGGTACCCTACACCGACGAATTTCAAGGAATGGACTTACGTTGGAAATAGTGCCATGAATCATTGGTCAACTTGCGTGGGTTGGGGTAACCCGCTGAACCCCAAAGTGTGCTCTTGTTCAATCTGCATATGTCTTTTGCGTGATGTTTGGCAAAAAGTCAAATATCAATAATAAGATCTCCATCAGCCCGTTGTTCAAATGCCTCCCTTCGTTGAACTAATGCAACATTATTTAGCTTACGTAACTCCCTAAATGTGAATAGCAGAGCTGACAGCTCAACCAAACCGGCAAGTCATGCCGATGCTTCGCATTTATAATGCTAATCCACATGCATAATAGACCAGCCAAATTCAATTATTGCCTGGCAGGATGCTCTGTGTGCGGTGACGGATATGAATAATAATGAGACGCTAATTTGTGACATTGACGACATGGATGGTGGTACTGTAGGCCGTGGGAATGTGGGGATTGTGATGGTATGACATCCTCCGAGCTGGTCTCATGGTTCTGGTTATGACCTTGACCAGAGATATGTTTGACTTTTACAGGTCTCATGCCTGCATCATGTGAAGCGTTGTGAGGAATGCAATTGTGATGAGATATATCGGTAGCTAAGACAGGGCAAAAGTTATTTGAGTAAGACGACACGTTGTATCGTTCATTTTTACATGTATAGTATACCTCTACAGGCCGGACGCGAGAAGTTTACCCGAGTTCAAATCTGTCCAAATATCCTGTGCCTAATTGCTGTTCAATGAGCTATGGATCGCTCTCCTAGCTCTTTTAGTTCGCGAGCTTTGCAGCTGATAAAAAACGAGGCGATGTCAATACACGTAACGCTCTGCTAGCCATCAACGCAGTCACCTTGAACTATTCGTAAAGAAATTCCGGTCTTGCACAGAGCCCTGAATCACCACTGCGCGGTAGCGCGGTTGTAGAACAGTCGCGCAGTCTGCGGGCAGCAGAAAGTCCTGCGCCGCGGGCCGGACGTAGCGTGACGTGCCTCCCCTCGCGAGGTCGGCCCCCGATCGCGGGCTGCCCGCGCCACCGCAGCATTCTGACAGCTCGAGTCGAGATGGAAGGACGTTCGGTCATCGCGCTGCTGGCGTTTGCCACGCTGCTCGCCGAGCCCGCTCTAGGTGAGATATGGGAAGGGACGGCAAAACGGTTTTCAATCATGAACAATGTCAGTATTAGTGTTCCGTAGTAATTTAGTCGGGTCGCTAAGCTGTATTGTAGGTATGTATCCCTCAATCTGGGGAGATGTTCCGCGACGAGTTAAGATGTTTCTAACTAAGCGAGTCCTGTGGGCTCCGCTCAGCTCTCTGACGTCTTCTCCTGTCTGTTGATAGGGTACTGCTCCTCGGCGGGCGGCGGCCAGTGTCCCATAGATCGTCTCGGTCCGCGGGTCCGCTGTGCCGGTATCGACGAGAAGTGCTCGTCGAACGCCGACTGTCCGGCCGGCCAGGGCTGCTGCCGTCGGGTGTGCGCGCGCGCCTGTTTCCCCGTGTGCCAGCCGGCCTGTGCCGATGGCGAGGAGTGTGAACTGCAGAAGGACGGGCTCAGCTCCGTCTGTACCGCGCTGCAGTGTCCGTTTGATGACCTGGGGCCTATCGTGCGCTGCCGCGGACCTCGGGTGGACTCCTGCTCCGGCAACTCCGTGTGCTCGGAGGGCCGGGCGTGCTGCTTCTACGGCTGCAACAAGAGCTGCCTGCCGGCCTGTAAGACGCCCTGTCCCGCCGGGCAGAGGTGCACCTATAACCGTGATCAACAGGTGTCCTCGTGTCAACCCTTCTGAACCGCTTGTTGAAAACAAGAAGAGAAGGCGGGCGAGAAGATCGCCGTTTTTCGCTCCCAATTGATCAGTTCGTGTTATGATGACTGGACCCGGGTGAATAAGAAACCGGTTGTGATGTGTGGTCCGTGGCAGTTCTTTCTGTTACACCATCTGTGTTATAGGTACCTACCTATCTACCAAATGAATAATTGCATTTTATTTATGCCTTCATATTCGGCTCATGCGGGAAACTGCAATCCCAGTAAACATGACGACGTCGGCCCAACGTCGGTTTAACCTCGGCCCGACATCGGCTGGACGTCGGATATGCCCGCATGTTCCGACGTCCAGCCGAAGTCCAGCCGACGTCAAGCCGACGTCGGGCCGAGATCGTTTGCCGAGGTTGACGAGATCGTTTGTCGTTAGACCGACGGGGCCGACGTCGGCATATTTATTGGGACAACGCGCCAAAAATATCAACCGGCGGCGGGATTCGAGCCCCCCAGTCGCTGACGTCGGCATGTTTACTGGGAAAACACGCCAAAAGCATCGGCCGGCGATGGGATTCGAACCCCGTGTCATACGAACGCGAGGTTAGTACGCTAACCATTACACCACGCAGCCAGCTAACGAATTTGGTTTGTTTTGTTGGGTTATGCCCTTTCGGTCTGACAAGACCATTTCAGAGCCGGAAGGATCATAGGATGGAGACATTGGTCTTCTTAGCGAGCACCCTGGGTCCAGTTCATGTAGAGTCCCTGGTCCCATTGCTGTTACGTGACACTTATTGGAAAGGGCGACCCCACAATGGATTCATATAGCCACTCTTACACACCTTGACCTGCACCAACGTTTCCCAAAGTGTCCCTTTGATAAGTGTCACTTAAGCAAAGTGACACTTGCCGATTGGCCTTTCTATATGAACTGGGCCCGGCCCTGGTGAGTTGCCGGGGCTGAGCCTGACCAAAGGATAGGCCGAGCAGCACCCAAGCACTCACCGCACCCGGCTACGGGCGAGCTCGGCTTACGGGCAATCCCAAATGGGATAAAGTTTCCCGTCCAGTCCGGATCAGGGGGTGGCGGCGTGGAGGAAGATTTGAGTTTCCTGAGGCATAGACCTCTGTACACGGTGTACAGAGGTCTATGCCTAAGGATATTTTGAATACAGAAGCTCTTTATGAAACATGAAACATGTATTTTATATTATTTTAACGGTCAAAACAGCGGCCGGTGTCGGTCCGACGTCGCCCCGACGTCGGCTGGACCTCAGCAATTGATCTCGGTCCGACGTCGGCCCGACGTCGGCTGGACCTCGGCTGGACGTCGGAACATGCGGGCATATCCGACATCCAGCCGACGTCGTGCCGTGGTTGGACCGACGTCGGGCCGACGTCGGCATGCCGATGCCGAGTTGCCGACGTCACCCCGACGTCGGCCGACGTCGGGCCGACGTCGGCATGTTTACTGGGATTTTAATAGAATGTCAGGATTTGTCTTTGTCCCATGGAAGACTGGGGCAGGTTCTCCTCCGCAGTCAATAAATTTGAATCAACAGCCCTATTTGAAGTTGCTATATTGTTATATTTGGCGATTTTGGTGCTGTACTTCTACCAAAGGTGCAGTACCAACGAAAAAAAGAACGTTTAACTATAGACGTTTAACTAAATGAATGCATCCCTGTCAATCGTCGCCGTCCAAGTCAAAGAATTGGTATTTGGCAATTGTTTGAACGTGAATCCATTTACTTTTAAAATGCTTAAAGGTAGTGTGCCAGCTTTCCTGGACCGTATGGAGTTAATGGCCCAGATAAGGAGAACCGGATTTTTAGAACTTATCCATACCTTCAAAACTCATGGAAACGTCTTAAATTCTTCAAATTTTGAGTACCCCAGTGCGAAATTCGCCCCGACGGGTTGTCGGTCGTACCCCAACTACATTTCACACCACTATGAACAATAAATGCACACACTGAAATCGCTATTACCAATAGGCTCATCCAATCAAGTTTCGATAAACCCGTTCATCATCATTTCCTGCGGTTTCGAACACGCCTGTTAGGTGGTGCGGTAGACCGCGCCCAAAGCCAGGGCCCCGGTAACGTGAGGTAGCCGAGTCGGGGCAGCGTGCGCTGACCCAAGCCGGGGCCGCGCGTCCTCCCGGTGTCATGTGATAGCCCGGGGCTGCCCGGGGATGCGGTAGACCGCGCCCAAAGCCGCGGCCCCGGCTTGGGTCAGCGCACACTGCCCCGACTCGGCTACCTCACGTTACCGGGGCCCTGGCTTTGGGCGCGGCTTCTGCTCATACTTTGTGGTGCGGTGGTGGTGCGTCGGGCCGCGCGCTCTGACTTCGGCCAAGAAAAATGCGTCAGCTGATCATTGTCATTTCTGCCACTTTCATGTGGTGAGATGGGGTCATAACTTTAGAGACGGCTGTTTCATATCAATTATTTTGCATAAAATAATATTTCAAACCATAAATGAATGTTCGACAGCAAAATTAAAGAAACAATACCAAAACAGGCTTACAGTTTAAATTCGACATTGTGTTGTCTACGATTAGATGCAGCTGATAACTCATTCCCGTACGTCGTAACTCTATAATGAGTAATGACCTTTGCTTATTGTCACATGTGCGCCGCATTCGCGATTGTTGCCGACGCCTGTTTGCAGGTCAGCCCACTACAGTTGTTATACATATCGAAAAACCGATAAACTTTTAGGCGAAAAAAGCACTATTTTAGGCCCATTTTTGATTTTTTTTTTGCGATATTAGGTAAAAACAGAAGCTTCTTATCCTAGGAAAAATAAAATGGGAAATCATTGGAAGGTGGCACACTACCTTTAACCCTATTAGTGGCAGGCTCCTGGCTACCCCATATTAGTGGCAGGGGGGGGGGGGGCTGTTTACGATCCCCCCTTGATATCTCGAGATCTAACCGGCCGATTTTCAAAATTCAAACGGCATTCGATTTGGCTCAACGAGATCTACATTTCTAAAAAAAAAAATTAAAAAATGTCAATGGGGGGTAGAGGGGGGTAAAAACGGGCAAATTGCAGATACATTTTAGACTGTTTATCACGGCCAGGTTTCTGAACCAATCTTAACGCAACTTTTGCCGATCGATAGAGAATGAACCAGGAATTCACATGGATCCTAAAAATATCCATTTTCAAAAATCATAGGCGGATACAGATCATTGAGATTGGGGGTACACAAAAAGTATAGTAAATAAGGTTTTTGTTGGTACTGTTTCTAAAAAGGGTGGCAATGGTCTTGTTATGTTACAATTTTCTTATGAGAGAACGACTAAAATTGTATTGGTCATGCATAGGCGGTGTCAGGGCACCTATGTTGGGAGGTAAAAAATAACCCCCCTTTTTGGACGCCTGGATCCGCCTATTATAGCAAAAACGTGTCAAAAGAGGATGCACAATAACTTTGTATATGTTATCACATGATACCTTTCATTCACTGTTCGTAAAACTGGTGCAGCATCGTGATCTTCGCCCAAATGACTCGCTTCACGAATAGGACCCCCAATTCCCAGTGCTCTGGAGCCGCCCCTGGTAAAGTTATGAACTTGAAATTTTCAGGGAATGTGCCCAATTTAGTTTTAGGAAAAGTCAGAAAATTTCAGCATCGTAGCTTCAGCGGTTTCGGAGATATTCCCGAAAAACCTGAGGGGTGGATAAAAACAACCCCCCCCCTGCCACTAATAGGGTTAAGAACGATGGAGTTCATGCATGGACATAATCGCTAACCCTGCGTATGAAACGAGTACGACACGCCGACGCGCAACAGATATTATAAGCAAATTTGCATTAGTCGTGTAAGGATTATCCGTCTCTAAGGTATCGCGTACCGTTAGTTTAGTAACATCTGCGAGGCTCTGAGACCCAGTCCTTTGGATTCCTGCAGGGCCGCCGAGGACGGCGTTGCGGCGGTTTACCAGTCACCAATCGTAGGCCGTTTCAATGAATAGGATCTTTTTTCCGTAATCGCCACGCCATATGTGGAAGGCTTTTGGTGTCGACAATGCATACATACATACATACATACATACAAGAAAAGAAATAGCTGGTGTATGGTAAAAAGAAGTCTCTGCAAGACTCACTTCAATTATGGACGCAGGTCAAAGCTGGCTGGTATGTAAGACATCAGAAACGATACCATGTGTTCAGCATTCCGTCATACGAGTATGTACCTACCCCGTGACACAAAGATCATCACGCGAGACCGAAATCTCAGCTGATACGAGATCTTCGTCTTTCTATCATACCGTGAAAACTATGCATTCTGCGAAAGCTTTTTACGAAAACGAGGCTAAGCAAGCTCTAAGCTAAGTTCTGATGCTCAAAACATCGACCGAGCAAAGCAGAAGCGATTTATTTACAGGTGTGTTAGGCTGCATGTAGAACGCATTCACGCCCCCTCACTCATCAGTGCCTATGTGCCTATACTGCCTATCACATCAGGGACGAGATGTCAGAGCTCCCAGTCACTAGGGCCTGGCGGCATTGCCTCTACAGACGATACTCACAAACGTACCCCTTCAGGATCTTAGAACATTCACGGGCGATGAAGCCATGACCAGTCAACATCAACACGCAGTCGCTGTCATGCTCCGTGAACCTGTTGTTGTAGATGCTTTGGTACCACTTCGGGTCGATAGTGATCTGCCTCTGGTGGAACAGGTCCTTGAACACGCCTTCCTCCTGTATGTCATTGATGCTGGTCCAATAGTTGTCGAACGGTAGACTGACGAGACCACGGATTTCTTCGTCGTTTGTTGGAAAAGCCGGCACGGACTCGGGGTCATCTTTGAGACACATATCGATCAGGACATGCCCTCCCGGCGTGTCTGCTGTGTGGCCTCGATAGGTAACTCGACGGTCAGATGGAGACAGCACGTACCCGGGAGGAACGATAAACTGGTGGACCGTCTCGGCAGCAGCGGTCAGCGGGTTGTCGGCAGAGTGGATCGGCCACAGGTAACACAGCGCCGCCGCGGGCCCCTCCGCGCGGCGACTCCACTTGAGACAGCCCTCCGAGCGGCGGCAGAGCATCGCGCAGGTGACAGCCGAGGGGGTGGCCACCGGAGCGACCAGAGGCCTCTCGGCGTGCACCACCGAGCGGGTCACATACACAGTAAAGTCCTCTGTCCCGGCAACACACACAGCCAGAAGGATACAGACGGAAACAGGGCCGACACCGGAGAGCGCCATCGCCACTGACCATACCAGCCGACCTCGTGCAATAAAGTGGAAACCGGCCTCCACTCAATGGCGTTAATGCATGCTCATGTAGAAAACAGGCTCGCTGGCTCCCTCCGGGCAGCGGAAATTGAGGTTTGGGCATTTCAACATCCGCTGCCCCGCAGCTTCAAGTGTCTGTACTTGTAAATCATGGAACAAAGTGCAATATGACACCGAGAAGGCAGTTAAATGTTGGGAGGATCCGACCGTCCGACGCATTTTCTGGACAATCCAAATTAAAATCAAGGGTCAAACTGGAGTTTGCTATCCTGTAAAGTACTTTACGATAATGGAATAGCGAGTAGGCTAGCTTAAACGATCAACCGTAATTGCACGACTGCTCTAACCCTAAGCCAGGGACGGCTATATAAACAAACGGCTTTCTGCAGGTGGCCAAGTGGGTACATATTTATATCCAGTCCGCATAACTAGAAATTCATTGACTAATAATTAGTCCTCTCACCGACAGGTAGAGAGGGATAGAGAAGGAGAGAAAAAGGACCTAATGTTTGTTCGACGTGTATATGTTCGAGTCTTCCTTCAGAAAGCTGGTAATTAGCCACTCGTCTCCCGCGGCTCCAGGTATCGCATTTGTTACTGATCGCAGTAGCGGCGGAACACCTTCAATTAAGGGGGGCACTGCCGACTTTTGGTCCCATTCTTTCCATGCAACGACCAATAGGGCTAATGTTAAAATGCCAAAATCAAAGGGGGACACGGTGCATCGGTGCCCACCCCCACCCCCCCCCCCCTTGCCGCCGCCTGCGACCGTTTCTCGCCGGTAATTGAACGCTGTTGGTGGTCAGCATGGTCACGGTGCAATAGTCCGTTGTCAACTAAGTACAGCATTATTATTTGAGTTCAGTCGTTGTCGAGCTGTCGACCATTTGCATTAGACGGTCCTCGACCTACTTCATAAGCCCTGAGCAATTAAAGTCCTCTATCTGGTGAATTAAAACTTTCCCCTATATAACATCTGTGCGATATTGTCTGCCCATCCAGCTATTCATTGTCAGAAACAGGTTATAGGTGTAAACCAGTCGATACATTTAATTCTGTCATTTTTCTTTCAACGAACAAGTTTCCTATGCATGAGCTATATTGCAAATCGCATTCAATTAAAAGTTGAGCTATAAATAAGTTTACCGACATCACTGGCTGATGAGTGATCTGTCACTGAAAACAATTTAACCCAAGGCTGGCGAGTAAACCGGTGTTTTACGGGTACCCCTATCCGCAACCATTTTTAACCACCCTCCCAGGAGTAGTGCTAGGTCCCATTGCGGTGTAGTCGTACTTGCTCTG